AGGAAGCAGCTGCCTCCTTCTGGGAAAAACCCTGAGATGTATTGGGTGCCTCAGCTTTGCGCCCAAGCCAAGCTCAGCGGCTCGGGGAGGTGTCAGGACTGGTTTTACCCATGAATTCAGCCTTTTTTTCCACGCCAGCCCGTCGGTTTCCTGAATGCCTCCGTTGCTCCATGACTTAACTCGGTTCCCGTGGCACGGATTCCTTGTGGGCAGCTGGAACCGGAGCTGCCCCGTCCGTCGGGAGCTCCGGTGGCCGCTCCCGCAGGATCGGGGTGGGGGTGGAATTTGGGAATTTGGCTCCGGCCAGTAAATCTAGATGGAGAACAGAGTTCCAAATGTTCCAGGTCTCCAGGGAGAGCTGGCTGGGAATCTTCCAGCGGCTTGGAGGCGATTGTGGAGCTTGTGGTGGCCGCGGGTTTGCTGCATTCCCATTTTTTGGGGGAATGTCACCATTTTCTGCAGTTTGCTTGGAAGCGGGTCCTGCTGTCCCCAAGGCAGGCTGGGGACCGGCAATGGGACAGGGGGGTGACAGTGCCACGGGGCTGGGACAGTCCCCAGGGGGCTGTTGGGTGGATAAAAGGGGTTGTGTCAGCCTCCCGACATTTCCCATCTGCGCTGACGCAATTCCAGAGGATGCTGTCACTCTCCAGCCTGGATCCCTGGCTCTGGTGGCCCTTCCCGCTCTGTCCCCGCAAAAATCTGGGATGTCCAACCCCCCTGGGGAGGGAACAGGGCGGGCTCAGACAGCTCCGGAGGGGTGACAGCTCCTCCCTGTCCCCCACCCTGCTGGGGCGCTGCTGGGTGACCTGAGCTGAGCCCGTGAGCGGATCCAACGGCTGGAATAGCGTGTCCTGGATGGAATTTTGTGTCCTGGATGAAATATAATTTCCCAGCTGGAATTTTGTGTCCAGGATGGAATATTGTGTCCTGGATGGAATATTCTGTCCAGGATGGAATTTTGTATCCTGGATGGAATATCATCTCCCAGCTGGAATATTATGTCCCAGCTGGAATTTTGTGTCCAGGATGGAATTTTGTGTCCAGGCTGGAATATCGTGTCCAGGATGGAATTTTGTGTCCCAGCTGGAATATCGTGTCCTAGCTGGAATATCGTATCCTGGATAGAATTTTGTGTCCAAGATGGAATTTTGTTCCCAGGATGGAATTTTCTGTCCCAGCTGCTTCATCACATCCCAGCTGCTTCCTCCCCTCTGCACCGGGCCAAACTCAGACCTCAGCCCCCGCCATTCCCTCAGGCATTTGTGGGAGTCAAAATCCAGGTTCTAGAGAGGAGGAAATTTCCCAAAACCGAAACTTCCTGAAACCTCCTGTAACTTCCTGAAATTTCCTGAAATTTCCAAAAATTCCCAAAATTTACCCAAATTTTCTAAAATTTCCCAGAATTTCCCCAAAGTTTCCCAAAATGGAAAGCTGTGGGACAACGTGCAGGGAGATCCATGTGTCGTGTCTGGGGAAGGAGTGGGATGCTGGCGGAACGGGAAGGGCACTGCACAAAYATCTGGGATTTTCCCATTTTCCAGACACCGACTCCGGGATGCAGGATCCCGAGCGGGGCTGAGGATCCGGCGGGTCTGGGCTCCTTCCCGGCTCCTCCCTTCCCCCCTGTGGAATTGCAGAGCCCTGATGGAAAGCAGCCGGCTCGGGAGGCGYGTGGGGTTAACCAGAGCCAGATGGGAGCGGGGAGAGGAACGGGCTGGGCCTGCAGGGGAGGGCGGGAATGGGATTTTTTTCCTGGAGAAAAGCAATTCCTTGGAGCCCCGGGAATGTGCGGCATTGCTTTGGAGGGAGCAGGGCTGGGAAAGGGCGGCCCCGTCCAGGGTGGGATGGGGAGAAGGATTCTATGGATAATGGTGAGGCTGGGAGAGGATCCCATGGATATTGGTGAGGCAGAGGAGAAATTCATGGATAATGATGAGGAAGGAATAGGATTCCATGGATAATCGTGAGTGAGAGGGAAAATCCTATGGATAATGGTGAAGCAGGGAAGAATTCCATGGATATTGATGAGGCTGGGAGAGAATCCCATGGATATTGGTGAGGCAGAGATAATTCCATGGATATTGATGAGACAGAGAGATGATCCCATGGATATTGGCGAGGCAGAGAACAATTCCATGGATAATGGTGAGGCTGGGAGAAGATCCCATGGATATTGGTGAGGCAGAGAGAATTCCATGGATATTGATGAGACAGAGACATGATCCCATGAATATTGGCAAGGCAGAGAACAATTCCATGGATAATGGTGAGGCTTGGAGAGGATCCCATAGGTAACGGTGAGGCAGAGATGATTCCATGGATAATGATGAGGCAGAGAGATGATCCCATGGATAACGGTGAGGCAGAGGGAAGATCCCATGGATAGTGATGAGGCAGAGAAGAATTCCATGGATAATGGTGAGGCAGAGAA